CCTTCGGTGTATAGGACGCAAACAGATTTTGACATCAAATTTTGGGGTAAAAAAGTGCGTCTTATACACCGAAAAATACGGTATGTTATTACTGCTATGACCATTTGGTACTATTGTTTATATACTGTGTCCCTATGATATATCTTTACTGAAACCACATTGTTCTGTATGTAAATTGATATATCTGTGCTACAACCCCCGTCCTTTTAATTTATACTTTTATAACCATGTGCCTCAATCTTGGTTCAGTCCTCTGGCTATATTCTTCACATTATGCATTTATACTCTATAACCTATTTCTAACCTATCTCCTTCATATGATGTATCTTTGGTTTAACACTGTTGCTCTGTTAATAGTTAACTGACAACAACAATTTATAAGCATAATGGAAATGGAGTAGTAGTATTTTGGAGAACATATGACATGATTTGACACAGCTTCAGTCTAAACATGTAGTATCCCTAAAATAAAACCACTTTATTATGCTTGTACATCATTGTTTGTCAACTATACACAAGTAATATTGTTCTATTTTTCATACATGTGTATTTACAATGATCATGTGAATCTGTTCTTTATACCTTGTATCTTGGCTATTTCTCTGTGACTTTTATCGTGTATTGTTACTGACTTTATGCTATCTATGCTATGTCACTGCAATGACTAAAAGACTGTCCTTTGTAATATGTATCCTTCCTATGATGTACCCTCAGTGCATATCGTATGATAAATTTTTGCTATGTTTACAAGCTGCTGTCCTTCTTTAACTGCCTTTTATATAATACATCATTTTTATGCTTGTGTGGCTTTTGTCTTTCATATGCTTCATTGTTCTAATCCTGTTACTGTCCTGTGACTTCAACTTTTCAAGATGTATCTCTCCTATGATCATACAGTAGCCTCTTTTATATGATACATTCTTGCTATAACATATCGTTCTGTTCTTCATAAACCATATTAAGACATTTTGGTTCTGTTCCTTTTTGAACTAGGTTAATTATTGAAGACACACAAATGATTAAACTGTATCAACTCAGTTCCATAGTTTACTTATTAGAACTTACAGAATTTAATTTTTTCCTATAATTAACATATTTACCTCAAAAATATTCACAATTCTAAGTAACTCTAGTTTCTGTAGCACAGTAACTTAAGAAATATACCTCAACAGCAATGGTTCAAGACAATAACTATTGTTTGTATGTTCCCTAAGTTAGGTATACTATATCATTTTTTTCATACATGGTTTTGGTTATACTACTTTTATATATTATAACGATTGTTTTGCATTGCTAGTTAGAATTTGAATTTAGGACTACCTAAATCTCCTAAGATGGCCAAACTTGAGAGATATTATTAGAGTTATAGCAGAAAATATCATTAACTGTAAGGTACATAACTGAGAAGACTGCATTCTAATCTTCATACGTAGAAATGCAAGAAAAGTATATTTAATTAGTTATACTGTATCATGATATAAAAGACTGTTTAGATATTATTGATTAGTTTATTTTTGTGAGTGAATATTTTATTTAGTTTTTGTTATAATAATAGTTAAAAGCAGATGATTGTAGGAAGTTGTGTTTATAAGTCATTGATGTTGATACAATCGAACGTCACATGCAATACACTGACGTCGAGAATATGGAAGGTGGGCAGATGATTAAGTGATTGACATATAAATAGGGTGAGACGAGAAGATAACAGCAAAGAAAGAAAAAAATGAGTAAAGTTGCAGGCCAAGGAAAAGTTCGGCACGAAGTTAACTACCATAGAATTGATTAAAATAAGCCTAACGTTTAATATGTTGGAGTAAGACTAACAGGAGATAAGAAGAATTATTCCATCAAAGCATGGTTCTAAAGTAATTGAATCAGCCTGAGAACACTTTGACAAAAGGAACAGAGGATACTTGGAAGACCAAACGATTATGGTGAATCACACTGACCCTTTGTTCTCCTGAAGAAGAATAGTCAACTATTCGAAAGCGCTCAAGTTTTGGGTCTTATTTTAAGTCTATTACAGAATACTAGTGATAGTAATAGAGAAGATAGTTCAAGTTGTCAACTACAATTCTAAAGTAATTGAATAGGCCTAAATGGACTTTGACAAGAAGAAAACTATATATATATATGTTTATGATATGCCTGTAATATCTAGTGTTGAAGAATTTGTTTTATAATTTTAACTTGTTCTGAATATATATTATTTTAAAAACAAGTGAAGTGCGTGCTGTTTATTTATTGTTTAATTTATCGCTAATGAGTCACAGTCCTAAGCCCAACAACAACATAGTATATATTTATACTATTAAGAAATATCACTAAACGCCTTTTATTTTGACAATTGGTGAAAAAGAATATACATTAAAAATTGACATACTGATGGCTAGGTTGATTTTTAGTTTCACTCTAAGTAGGTTGCTCTGATAAGAAATTATTAATATTTAGTTACATAAAGTGTTACTCCTAACTTAAACTGTAGAATGTTCCTGTCTTACATAATCCAACACTGATTTTTCTGGAAATTACTATAATCTCTCTGGCAGTGTATTTTTGGGCTTAGGGATCTTCTTGGTTAATCAAATCATTAAAATATTGTCAACTATGAAGTGATATTTTTCTCCAAGTTACTGCAACAACCAAACTGCATTTTAAGCTGGAAGGTCTCCTCGCAACCAATAACAATCTTAGCTTGGTGAACCAAACCAGGATGATATGTCCCCACTATGACTTATTAAACTGTTCTGTTAATGGTATGTCACTACTGTAATCATGTCTGTCTCTTCTAATTTCTACAACTGTATCAGAAGATGAGTTTCTCATTATACTGACTATCATGTTACAACTTGATTTTCTCTGCTTTTTTCCTTACTGTCTTAAACTTGTTAAAGTAAGGTAATAAATGCCTTCTGAGAAAAAGTTTACTAATGAATTTGAAGAACATAAGTACTTTCATTACTTTTTCCAACTGTTGATACATAGAAACAGCAGTAAAACATTAAGATCTCTGTATTAAAAGAAGGATAAGTGATGCATATGAAGTAAATGAGACAAATTCTATCCCTTCAGTTGTATCTTTCACATGAAATTCTTCCTTTGGTAAAGTCATGAAGAATGAGCTTTATTCTTCACATCTACAAGAACTCTTCCAACCACCAATTTCTCAGGGCATATTGGAGTATGTGGTTCCATTGCTATCTAGCCACTATATGAAGAATTATTGCTTATAATTCCTGATATGAGTATTTCACTTCATGGTGGTACAAGAATAGGTAATACTATTGCAACTTAGTACTGTTTATTTCATTTAGTGAGAGTAATTTTGTGAACTTCTTTTAATTAAAAAATACTATTGTTTGCAGATTTAACTACCACACTGCTACTAAGTTAATTTTTATTATTGTTAGTCACCTAGTTATTCAGTATTAACTAATAACTTTGAGTTGGACATTAAAAAAAAAGACTAATGCAACGATACATCTGTAATGTAAAATCAGTTTTCTTATTATTATTTAAAAAACTTTTCTGTTTTGAAGAACAAAAACTTGAAAGTGATCTACTGTTAAGTTCACTGTTCTAGGCCTAATTTCACAGTCTAAAATAATATTAATTATAAATTTTTCCCTTCCTTATTAAAATGTGTGTTTATAATACTTTCACTTTAGAATATAGCACAAAGTACATTTGTAAGGATTTCCATACTGTTGTGCAGTATATCTAACTAACAAATTTTACAAATATGATGTGACTGAAAGATTCCTAATGTACAACCTATTATAAGAATATCTTATCCGAGTCTAAGAAGAATGGTTTTCACTATGATAGAGACAATAAATATTTAATGTTGTAAGTTCTTATTATATATGATATTTTAAATAAAATGTTTACACTTGTCAAAAGTGAAATGAATTTCATGAGGAGGTTTTTGCTGTTATATTAGAGTTAATAATGTTTTAAATTTCCATCACCAGGCCTTCTTTGATGCATTCTGTGAGGAAACAAAACTTTGTTTTTGCAAAAATAATTGGTGTGAATAGAGAAATATTGTTGTTCTGAAGACAATAAGTGTTTGATTTTGGAAATATTACATGTGTATTTCAGTACAACAAGAGCTTCAAAATCAAATTATTCAGGAAAATAAAAATTCATTTATTTCTACAAAATTCTGACTTAAAACTTTGAAATGTTACGGACAATGGCAATATGAGGACCTACATTAAAGCATGTGTTTCTACTTTAGTTTGACAGAAAAACTGAAAGGCATCATGATGACTTACAGTACAGGTTGTGTTTCTACTCCTAGTTTCACATAGTAATTTAAGCAAAATTATGTAACTATATAATTGAAAATATACTGATGTACTCTTTTAATCCAGGTCTTAGGAATAAAACCGGAATATTCACAAAATTTTGATGATATCACTTGAGATTGGAGTTACATGTTGATATAAAATATGTACACTTAATGTCAGCATGTTGAGAAAAATCAGTACTCTCTCTAAAAAGTATTTCAGAATTCTCAAAAATTTAAGAAGATAATACATCTGGCTGTTTTTTTTTAATTTATTCTGAACAAACACATTTTATAGAAAATTAATGTGAAGTAACGTTTCTAAAGCCAACCAGGAAGAATAAAAAAAAAGCATAATCCATCAGCCTAATCCCCATCCTCTGATGGGTGCCCACTTTTAACAAAATATGCCATCAAGCTTTTTAAGCCCATTTACAGTTCAATTACAATGAAAAACACATGAAATTGTGTTTATATTTGTAGATGAAAGTTCTAATTTGTTACCTAAGGATTCTATTAAGAGAACATAATTTATTTTCTTATATTTTGATGACATCTTCTGGCCTTAACATGTTTGGGTTTAAAAAACATTTCATCAATTGACTCCAGAGCTTGTTGGTAACCTTTAACTATAATTAAAATAAAATCTCTAATTGCCAATATTAGATGGTAACTTTCATTTCGTGTTGATTCTGTGTACGATTTTGACACAATATTTTTGTACTGAAAACCTTGAAAATGTATCTTTGGCATCAGAATGTTATAAAGAATACTTCAATTTAGCAGCATGAAATGTGTTTGGGAGTATTGCCACATAAATGTCAAAGTTCACCCTTAAGACTTTTCACAACAGCAATACATGATGTGGAAATTTATGGAATGAATCAAATGATACAAAAAGCTGTGGCAAGTGCAAATATCACAAACTTCTCTTAGAAAATACATGATAACATGGAAATAAAAAGCCTACAGTTTGAGGTACTTCTATTGCTGCATGCTGTCTAAAGTGTTTGGCCTAGTAGGCTCACTGGTGTTTGTCCTCTTCACAAGTGTGGTCAACATGTACATGATGCTATCAGTTTTCTTGTCTAGAGCTGCCAGCTAAAAGATGAAAAATAAAAGGTATTAATCAAAATAGGTTTCAACAATGACATCAGGGTGTTACTACTAATTTTAAGTACTGAGTAAATTATGCCTCAAACTGTATTAGAAATAATTTAACTGAGCTATTATGGGCAAGAACAATGAGAAAGAATCAGAAAAAAAGTAACCTATGCCCTCCACATGCTTTCAAGTGCACCATATTAACATCACCATACAACCTATATAAATAGCATGCCAAAAGACTAACCATGCAGCTGCCAACACATCATCATACACTCTTATATTAACTGTTATATTTTACTTTTCAGCTCCAGCACGGGACAGGTAGATAACCTGACACCTATCTTGTGAAAGTGGTTTTTTATTGAATTACACTTTCATCATGACATTAATATTATGATGGTCAAGTAAAGCAAAACTTGTATAATTGTGATTATAACAACTGAAATAAAAATATTTACTTTATGACCTTAGTATTTGCAAAATTAACTGAAGAAGATTTTATATATTTCTATTTGATGTCAATCAACATTCATTATCTATATGTATAAAGCATAAAAAATTTGTCTGCCTATTTGTCCATTACCTAACTACCCCTGGGTTGCTGGGCCAATCTCAAACAAATCTTGTGGGATGACAGTTTGAAACAAGGGGCATGTTAATAGGGTGGGAGTTACAACCCCTTCCATCCCCCATTACTGATGTTAGTTAATGTTAACTACATTCATAGATGGCCTACATTCTTACATCAAACCAAAAAAAATTAAATTTTCTGTACACACAACATACCTACTGTGAAGAGAAGACACACAAACGTCTTATGTATCTCTTGGAGAGTGCACTAACACTCTAGGGAGGAATGCAATGAAAAAAAATGGCCGACACTATTGGAATAATACATAAACACAAATGAAGTATATACTACAACAGTCACAATAATGCTGATATGAAGATCCATTTCTTGAGTTATACCAACTTCCTACTTTGACCTGTGATCTTACAACTTCATCCTGTAAGTCACTTCTGCGGCCAATGATAGCCTATTAATTAATCACGTGAAACACTGTGGAAGGACATTAAGAGCTGTATGTTGAAAGCGGGTAACAGAAAGCACCCCTATCACCACTACCTCTTCCTATAAAGTCACCCTGAAAGACTGCCAAATTTTGTGAAGATATACCCACTATATTGAGAGATATAAGTATTAAATCTATAAAGACTTTAAACGGGTAGAAAAAAGTCATGTGATCGGTCAAATTGACCGAGCCCGTGTTGAAAGTGTTAACACAGTTATTTGAAGTAGGCTTGCAACATTAAACCTGACATTTGAAGAATAAACTCAAGCAGGTCTACATTAAGACAAGAAAAGTCAAGATACATAGTTAAAATACATTCACATCATGAAAGTAATACCACCACATTTAGCTGAATTTAAACTCTATCATACCATTGGCATCATGATTACTGATATTGCTACGTTTAACACAATGTGTCATTAACACCAGGTTAAACAAGTTTATTAGATTTTTTGGGAGTAAATTACAAAAGCATATTTTCTGGGCTCCTGAAGAAGAACAGTCACCAACTTGAAAGTGCTAGAGTTTCTAGGTCTTTTGAAATCAACTTGATTTTCTTTTATTATCATTTGTGCTAATTCTACAATCATGGTTTTAAATAAGTATGACGTGGTTGTGAAATGCAATAAAACAATTGAAAAAAACTAGGTATAATGGTGATGCTTCACTATGCATGTAACAGCTGCTTAAAAATCATTCTGCTCCACTTACCTGCTGCTCCATGCGGTGGAGTCGTGCACCAATAGTCATTGGTTTCATCCCTCTCTCTCCCAAGTAAGACCCAGGTTTACCAAGTGTTTGGTCCAACCTGTGGAGAAATATTTCCTGGCTTAAGAAAAGAAACACTACCTATGTATCAGATCTTGTATAATTCCTAGTGTTAGACCCATAAAACATCAAGCTACCTAATTTAGGAAAATCATGCTGGTGTTAGTAGATCCACTGTAGTTCATTAGATTTTTTTCAGTTAATTACAATATATCTAGAAAATTAATCAAAATCATCTCACCTTCGCTGAAGTTCTTTGATCCTGACCATCATGTTTAGATGGCCTTGAGAATACTGTTCTATTACATCTCGTACATCGTAGGGCTTTCTCGCTTGCTATAATAAAATATTATACTGTTCTATTTCTACTAATAGACTAAAGGTGTTTCCAGTTTTTTACCAACAAAATATTACACAACAGTTTCTAGATTAAAGGTTTTTCTGGTTTGCTATAAGCAAAAAATTACACTGTTCTCTAAAATTCTACACTAAAAATGTTTTGGACTTGCTACGAATGTTCAAATTGAGAAGGTATGGAGAGGAACACAGTTCCCATTGTTAAAATAGATATCAATTTCACCTCCCTTGCTAGTAGAATCATGCCACAGGAGAAATTTCCGAGACTTGACTGGTGAACTTTGGCTCAATTAACACGTGCATAAAGCTAAAGTCAGTTGTTTCTCTCTGTACAAATATCTCCATCAATCATTAGCAGGTGTGTTTTTTTAGTTTGCTCTTAATGTTTTTTTAAAGGAAAGTTATTTTTAAATCTTAATTTTAATTTAATTAGTCAATGATTATTGATGTCATTAAATTCACAGTGTATTTGTATATGTAAGAGTATCAGTTTTGTTTAAACTTTTTAAGTAGTACAATTTGAGCACTGCTTGCTTCAAGATAAATAAAGTCTAGTATTTTCTAAGGTGGAAAACATTTAAGGGTTCATTTACACAATAAGAAAAATGACGCCCTAAACAACCATATAAAAAAAGTAATAGTAACTGTTTGTATTAATCTTGTCAGGAGATACTGAAGTGAATCAAGACCATCAGAGTGTTAAACTAAACTGAGTATAGGAGAAAACACTATCCTTATAAAGAAAAAATGAAAGTTAAAAAACTAAGCAAATATAATTTATGAACATATTAGTACATCGGATAACATATATGAGGAATATTGACCCTAGAACACGAGAAATCACAATGATCCCGTACAAGTTAAACCAGTATTCTAAACTAACCATGCTGGCATTTTAGGGTTAAAGACAAGTCTGAAAATAACAAATTAAAGATATTAAAGAAAATAATGCAAGACCTAGTATGGAAAGTAAGGCCCAGTAGGATCTGAAAAAATTAATGAAATCTCTTTGAAAAAAAGAAATAGAACAAAATTAGTTTTGAAATGGTATGTAGAAGTGGCCAAAAAAAAAAAAAAAGAATGGATACACAGGACCTATAATCGTAAAAAATAAATTTTTTGGAAAAATAAAGAGAGGCTTTAAAAAAAGTATATTTTTTATTCAATAAGATTTTGATTAAGTACTTCTGGACCTGAGAGATGTCACCGATACTTCCCAAATTTTTCCGTCTCACGGTAGAAAAACTTAATCAAATAACCTGAAACTTAGTACAAACTATGTATTTAGTTCTAGCCTATTATTTGATTTAGTCTTTCTACAATTGTTTAGGTTGTGGAATTTCCAAAATTGTACAGCTGTTTTTCAAAACAATATTAAAAATACTTCCTTCTGCTTTACAATTTAACTTTTTTTATTATTGTTGATTAGAAGGTTTCATTTTATATATCCAGTCAGTTTAACTCAATTGATATTCATTAACATATTTGTTTCAATATTTTACTTTGCTGATAACAGTAATCACTACTTCCAACTACACATCATGAAAAATGTGGTAAAAAACTTGATCTGTAATTTATTCCTAAGTATTCTCATTTGATTCCTTTGTTCACGCCTACAGGAACTCCAACAGGTCAATATCTGAAGAAACCACAAATTACTGTTCAAAACACTTTATTTACACTATATTGACATAGATGGTTTATGTTTACTCTGTCCATTGGCTCTACCACTACTGTCAAAGCTGAACTCCATTAGTAATTGTTCTGTTCACACATAAAAAGAGTGCTAACAAAGGGCTGTAGTAATAAAACCATATGAAAAACAATACATTAATCATTATACTTTCAAGGGATGGCAGTTTCTTAGCAAATAAATATCACTACTATATTTCGGGATGGGCAGGAAAAAAATAAATAAATAAATATGTTGTATACAGGGAAGACTCCAGAGATGTGCAGAAATGAAAGTTGAATGTTTCTTTAAATTTGTCTTTGTGAATTAAGCTAAATGTTGTGTTACGATAGCTATACATTATGTACATTCAGGTCATCTATATATAATAAAAAGAAAACAGACATTTTCAAATAATTTGAGTACCACCTGTACAATAAGATTCATTTCACAAATTATTTTTAATTAATTCTGCATTTCTTATGTTCTCCCATCACACTGAGGCATGTTGTTGTTTAAACACTGTTACATTACCCAGCTACTGCTTGTGTTTTGGCTGTATGCTTATGTATTGAGTCATGCCTGACTATTAAAGAACAGATTTATATCTGTTGAATTAGGCTTCATTTTAATATGTTGGTGTATATTTTATTATTGACATATCTGTCGTGCTGAGGGATGTTCCATTTCTGTGTTAGTATACACAAGAAAAAATAAATTACAGATTGTCTGTTGTGATTAAATCCACATTTAATCTCTCCTTAAGAAGGTGTAGCAATACAAAACATGTTCTACTCAAAACTTACTCTATTATGACCAGTGAGCATCAGTATTTCAAAATGTAAGTGAAAGTAATATTTTAAATTCTATTTCAACATATTCTACCCAAAATATTTTAGAATTACTATTTTGTCATTTTATAACAAAGAAAAAAAACAATAAAAAAATGTTCAAAGTTTCCTTTCTGCAGAGCTCTCAGGAGTCTTACTTGTAAACAACGTACCTATAGATTTTTTCTGCTTAACTCAAAGCATAGGTTTATATTTACTACAAAACTATCATCATTTGAGAATATAGTTATCCATGTCTTGTTTATCATAAAATTTTCCTTATCTTTCACTGGTTTTATTATAACAGCCCTTTGTTCCCACAACATGTAGTCTGAAAAGTTACAAATGAAGCATAATTTGATTTGGTTTTTCTTACGTTGTGAGACTTCAAAAATTTTATTTGGAAGACATTGTTTAGAAAAAAACATTAAAGATATTCTTTTCATCTTAGAATTTTTATTATTATTATTGATCAGAAAGTTCCATTTTATATGTAGTCAGTTTCAACTTAACTGATATTTACTAATGTATTTCTTTTGATACTTTATTTTGGCAATTGCATGGTCTCCTGCTACAGGCAGGTTAACTACCTGTGCTCCTTGAGGTCATGATCATCACCTGTTAGAAGGAAACCTGCATGAGTGAACCAATAAAAGGCATAACAATTGGAGCAAAGATATCATCCTTATAATGAACAACAGTCAGTGCTCCAATCCTGGTGATGTAAATGTCCATACATCCATTAAAACTAATTCCCTCAAAACTACCATAGATCTTTCTCAAAATCTATCACGATCACTAACTGTGGAGTCAGCACAGTATTCTACACGCCATCTCCACACAATCCAGGAAATATCATGAAAGTCCATACAAAACTGTGAAGAGAATAATATGTTAGTGGTATCTTTGCTAACCATCAAGAACAAGGTCTTGTCCTTTTTTTTGTGGAGAGTGACCCAGTATCTTGTCCAACAGTCTGGTTATCAAACTTTGAGAAACTCCCTAACTAGTACCCACTGATCTTTGTGGTAAACTATTCCGTAGCACATCCACATTTCTATTGGTCTCATTTGGTTATAAGTAGCATTTCTGGACCACTTTTTGTGTGGAAAAATTCTTTCAAAATTAATAATCCTTTGGAAATTCAAACTTTGAAATTAGTAAATGTAACTGAATGTAAAAATCCTCTCACACCTGACACTGAAATTTATTATGTTACACAATGAGCATACCTGTACATGCACCTCATGCTTGTCAATAGTATGTGTTGTTGGAAGATTGATATTCAGTTGCTGAATAACTGAAATAACTTTTTATTTTCAGCAAGTTTTAAAACTTTTTGATCTGTAATTCATTTTGGCCAATGAGATTATGTCATGCTTGTTTTCTATATATTGTTGCACCTTATTTGTGGAGACTTGTGCTTTAAGTATGTTCTATATATCTAAAGCACAAAAATCTGTCTGTTATCTAACTACTCCTAGGTCGCTGGGCCAATCTCAAACAAACTTTGTGGAATGATAGTTTGGAATAAGGGGCATGTTAATGGGGGGTTCAGAACCCCCCCCCCTATCCCCATTATTGCTGTTATTGAGCATTTATTATCTTTGATATAAGTTAATGTCAACTACATTCATAGATGGTGCCATGTCCTTACACCAAAATTTTTTTATCTAACATGCATACTGTGAGGGTAGGGCACACAAATGTCTTGTATATCTCGGATAGTGCACTAACACTCTCTATAAAGGAATGCAATGAAAAAATAGCCAACACTATTGCAATAATACATAAACTAAACTGAAGTTTCTACTCCAACAGACACCATATAGCAAGCTGAATGAAGGGCCATTTTATGAGTTATACCAACTTCCTACTTTGACCCGTGACCTTTCAACTTCATCCAGTAAGACACTTCTGCAGCCAATAACCATCTATTAATTAATCACATAATACACTGTGGAAAAATATTAAGAGCTGGGTGTTGAAAATGGGAAACAGAAAGCACCCCTACTGCCACTACATAGGCTGCTACCTTTTCCTGTAAAGTCACCCTGACCATCGAACAGTGTATACCATGTTTTAAGTATATACATATAGAAGAACCTCAATTATCAGGAACCTTGAAACAACAGGCACCCCACCATTAAGAGCAGACCTTTTCAGTCTCTTTCTTTTTTCTACTATTTGTAACCAAAATAAAGCTTGCAATAACAGGCACTTCAATATTCTGGATTAAGGGCAGTGTCTTTAGTCTCATTCTCTAAATGGGCACTCGATAAAGAAGGCAGTTATCTTTGTATGCCTATACAGTACACTGCTAAATTCCAAACATCCCAGAAGGATGACCAATATTCAAACACTTGCAATGTTTAATGGATCGGCTCCAAACCATGTACTGTAATAAATGTTTTCACAAATTCAAAGAGCAATCTTATTACTCTGAGGAATTCTCGTTGTAAACACTGAGGGACACGATACATAAGCTGATACCTTTCACATCACATTCTCGGAGCAGAGGTCAAGTCAGCTCATTTCTGTGCACGTGCTTTGTTGCTCTTGAGAGTATTATATTACGGTGTATTGTAAATAGTCTAATGACACAAGCAGTGATTTGTTGCTTTATTTTCAGTGGATTTCTACTTCAGCCATTGAAAATAAATGTGAAATGTTTAGCAGTTCAAATTCTGAAGAGAAGTACTTTGAACCTTTGTGACCAATAATAAAGAAAAAAGGGCACAACTAGTCCACCCCTTGGCAACGTGCAACTCACGAACACCTGTGTCTTGCATGCACCAAACAAAATGGGAGACCTTAATATTCAGAAATTTAGCACCGTCAATATGGATTCCAGCTTTGCATGGCTTATTTTTTATACTAAGGGCCTTGCTAAAAAAGGGCATTTGGACATACTTGGAAGGGTGCCCTTAATGTCAAAGTTCTACTTGTATTGATGAGGTAATAATGAACACTGTAATAATATGTTATGTTATACATAAATTGTGTGAAAGTTAGGATTTTTGTGTTAATTATCATAGCATCCACCCACACATTTATTTAAAGTTCATAACCTGGACAAAAGATGGGTCTCTCAGCTTGTATGTAATAAAATATACATTCTTTTTTTTTAAATGTTTTTCTTTACACTAAAGTACACACCTATTTTTTATGTGTTTATAACTTTAAAACTTATACAACTAACCAGAATGTTTTTAATCTATATAAAAAAGAAACAAAAAAATGTTCAAACTATGACAATGCCAATAAATTACTCCATTATATTCAAAGTTTTGATCAATGTATATAAAACAAAACAAGGAAATTTATAAGTAAAATATACCCTAGACTAATTATCTTTTTTCTTTTAATGAGATCATTTTCAAACTACACGATTCACGTCTATGATTTTCTACTTCTATCTAACATGTGGTTTTATCAATGTACCATGAAACTAAACATGGGATATAAAGAATTTAGTTGAAAAAAAACAGATATTTACCTGAAACTTTCTTCTTGCTACAAAGTATTTTATCTTCCTAATGGCTCTTATTGCATTCTTATGGGCTTCTGTGAGACTAGAATAAAACAACATACATGGTGAGGCATCCAAAACATTGTCAGATTTCAATGATATTTGGATACATTACTTCTATAGGCATATAAATGCAAGTCCTGGAAAAGTTTTCTAGCTCTTGTGTTTTGTGTATTTACAGGTAGGTAACAAATGTGCTAAACATATTCACTACACCAGTATTATTAATAAATTAAGAGTAAATCAAATTAAACATTCAAGAAGTGCCAAGGAGCAGTCACAGTGTCCCAAACTCATATTACACAAGATAAATTTGGCTTTCAAACACAACTGTCTGTGACCCACCAGTGTGTCATGTGGTCCATAAGTAAAAGTTGGTTGTGACCCACACCCACAGGTGGAGCACATGGCAGTGAACATGTTAAAACTAACACTGCAGCAGTAGAGGACACTCACTGTCATTTATGGAGTTCATTGGTTCCATAAATAGAGAGTCACTCTACTGGATGTGTGGTATCTACCAGGGGACATGTGGAGGGCACATTCCATTGTGATAAAAACCTGCTCTATATACACACAATATATATGAATATAAGCCAAATATTTAATCAATAGGTTTCCAATTGATTTCAGTAGTTTTGAAAGTAATCAAACGTTAAAAATGAGTACTGTTAATAATAATTATTGTTTTTAGGCTTGTGTTCATTATCATAATTTTAAAAAGAAATTTCAGGATTTCTCTTTGTTAATTATTTTTACACATAAGTACTATAAAATATTTTTCATACATTTTATAACTTGTAATGAGTAAAATTTGGTATTTGTAAAACAGATTTCACTGTTAAGAAAACCTGGATTTTAAAAGCTGAAAAGATTCCCTCCATGCACACCAAGGGGCCAATGAGATCATTAGTCATTTTGATTTAACACATTATTTGTAAAAAAATATAAACCAGTCACAATTAAATATTAGCAAAAGTACTAGTGCACTCCAACATCTACTAAAGGTGAGGTCTGGAAGAGTTTCACAGTTTTGCTATATCACAATAAAACTGGTAAGAGAAATGTTTGATAATGATGATCTAATATTAGTAAAGTATTTTAATCTTATCATCTTGATAACTGAGCATGTACTACATAATTTGTATTTTATATTTATGGCAAAGCTAATTTTGAGCTACAGACCACAGGGAAGGCTGCCAGTCATCAGTTTTCTGCTACTCATACTAAGGGATTGATTGTCACTCTTTTAAAACACCCACAGCTTATCCTTCTCACTACTGGCTCAGCCAAATCAGCCCAGTTCATGACCCCTAATTAACCTTTATAGTTTCCATACTAAAACTTCTAATATATTTTGTGTATCTTTACAAAATTTCTCAAGATTTCAGTAAACATTAAGTCTTTTGCAGAGAAAAAAAATCAGAATTTTTAATGAGTATTTTTCCTAAAATTTTCTCCATGAACATATGGAGTCAAAGTGTCGACTACTCGAAGTGTAAAGTGAGTTTCACGTTAAGATTAAAAATACTTTTATTCATCATAAAATTCTCAAATTTCATTTGTGTAATCTCTAAAAACTCCTAAATAAATTACAAATGTTTTTTGAGTGTAACTTTATATCTTTAAATGAGAAAAGATATTTACCCTAACTCTAAATGAGGTTGGTCAATGTGACTTACCTCATAACCACCAGAAAAAACAAACAAAAGTGAAATAAATCTAAATTATCCTTTTTTTATTTCTAGAATGACTTAAATTGTAACATGAAACTACATTTGTTTATCCTAAATAACTTTGAACTTGTAACAGTATACATCTGTTTCTACTTAAATTTTATTGCCCTTTGAACTGAGTCTAATATTCCCACCACACAAGTTGTAAATCGCTGTATAGCTCACATTACTCTATCGAATTATGTAACACACAGGCTACCTACAAGTTGATTGTGAGCATACCTCATGAAAAAGTTTTATTATTATTATTATTCTTTACCTAATCTAACCTAAAAAGTTTTACAAGAAATAAAGTACTTACCTGGGTCTTCCTTTTTTTTTGGCTGTTGACTGTCAATGAAAACCTTATTTTTTTATACTAATGGTGCTACTGCAATAAATAATTTTTTATTTAATTAACTAATGCACCAAAGAATACAGAATAGTAACATCCAAAAAACAGACAATGTCCTATAACTATCATGATTTTTCTGGCTTTCTAACTATGCAATAAGAGCCCTTAAACATTTAGCTCAGCTCATCATTATGTTTCCTGTAGGAAAAAAGTTTGAGCTGAAAGCGAAGTAGACAATCCTCTGTAGAGAAAACAACATATCATTTCATTTGATAGATCAAAACCTTGGCTTTCTGTTGGTTATAAATAATATAGTATTAAATATCAGAGAGAAATATTTGCAATTTATGAAAGAGAGGATGTGACAGGTGGGTGTGATAAGAGGGGTCTGATTTTCTAGCTAATGGCTCTGTAATGAAATAAGATTGAAAGATTGCTTTGTCTGAGCAATGACAATATTATAATGAGTAATTTACATTAAATTCCATACTTCTCAGAGGGATGGTAAATAAATTATATCAGAGGGGACACGTAGAGAGCAAATGTCATAATTTTTATTCTAGGGGAAATTCAGGATTTTTTAAATATTGCCTTATAAAATTAAAAACTTAAAACTTATACAGTATTAAAAATTTGATTATTAGCTATGTTTTAATGTCAAGTTAATTTGTTTTTCATGAAAATAAAGTACTTTAATTAAATTTTGAATATAACTTCGTAAAATCTCATGACATGCACAGAAAAGGATGCCTTTATGGAAAGAGTTAAAGAGTGGGGAATATTTTGTGGTATTGCATGGATTCAAACTCAACTTGTCAGCTCCAAAATCCAGAGCTCTACCACAGGGCCAGTCTGTGCCCTATATGGAATAAAACTTTGCTAAAAATAACCTTCCAGCACTTGCAACCTCGCATACAACTAAGCAAAGCTTGTAAATATGAATAGCATTCATTTTTTAAATCTAGATGTCTCTTCAGATGAGCTTCAAGTTTTGTGCAACTACCAGCCCACACTGGCCCCATTTACATCAGCCTAACCATGACATAAAAGCTAATCTCCGTTTCTTTTACAATAACCTTAGAACACATACACTGGCCACCTCTCATGTTCATATTCTGGCTGCCAGCTAGTTCATGAGATTACACATCATTTCATTTCCACATGCACAGAAACCTCCAAACTTGGCTTGTATCTAAGTGATGGTACTGAAGACTCTGGGGATGCTGCCACAGAGTTGTTTATTCAGCAGATGTTGTTGCCAAACATCCAAGGTTTTGTGATAAAGATGTAGCACCCACCCAGCTTCCTCTACAGTTTCTTGTTGACTGCCTATGTCTTAGCCCAGTATAGCAACACACTCTACAGCAGTATTGTAAAATATCCTTTTGAGGTTTCTGGATATATTTGACTGCCGTACATTTTCCAATTTACTGCATGATGACTATTCCAATGTAATATAAGATTTAATGCCCTTTTTGCTACTGGCAAAGTCTCTCTACGGCTAATACTAATGGCTGTTCTTATTGCATTATACAGAATAATGGTAAACAAATATGGTGCCAAGATGTAGGACACTTGCCAAGATGTCAAAGGTATCTATTTTGCCATATTTTTTTGTATAAGACAACAATTACCCTCACAACCTCATAAATAATTCCATAAACATGCAAGATCCCTTTCATCATAGTTGTGTGAAGGAAGCTTGATATCTATTAATGTTATTTAAGCTTGACACACTTTTGAATGTGATTTGTCAAACTTTGAAATGATTCTTTGTAGTTTTCCTCTGAGACTATAAGTGAAAATAAATTTATTTCTACCATTTTTTTGTGTGATGTTCCTTGGTAATGTGTAATATTTTCTTTACTGGATTACCTTTTTTTGGGTAACCATTTTATAAGAAAACAGTATTTCAATTCTGTTTCTTGGTATTCAACACTATAAACTTTGTTAGATTTTGAAGTCAATGTTTTCAAAATCAGATTTCACAGTATACGGATGTACTGATAAGAAATTAAAATATATCTGTCAGTATGTGTGTTCTTTCTCCACAACAAAGTTTTTACTACAGATGAAACTGGATCTTTATGAAGTGAAATGTCTAGGAAATACAGAATGTTATTTTCTCCATTTCAAGCATGAATTATATGGCACTGTTTTGAAGATTTAAATGTGAATGAAATTGTTTAAGATTATTTGATCATTTGAACCATGAAACAAAGATGTCATCAGCACATCTGATTCATAATTATAGTTTATGTACAGCAAAGTCTATGGCAGCACAATCTAACCTCTGAGAGAGCTATGAAACTACTAATTCATAGATATAAGACTAAATAATCTATTATAATTTCATTAGATTAGTGATTTAATCCCTATATAACTAATTAACAATATTTTATTACAATATTACATGATATGTTTCTACTGGAAATATTTTTGAATCTTTTTTGTATTTTTTTAATGATTATTTATCTTAACCATTAACCCTCTCGCCCCGGGTATCCTTTACTGCGCATGACACAAGGATTTAGTGTCTTACATTGAAAATTTTATTAAACTACTTTTTGTTTATGTTATACCAATTAGTATAGCATAAAATCTTAGTTAATAATCCATATTTTAATAGTATATAAGTTTTAAGTTCTTAATTTTATAAGGCAATATTTAAAAAAATCCTGAATTTCCCCAAGAGTGACACATTTTCTCTAGGTATCTTCTCATCTCTATTTTGTCCACCCACCACCCCCAGAAACAATGAAATTAAACATAAATTACTCACTATAAAATCGTCATTGCTAAGACAAACCATAATTTTTATAGCCTTCAATTTTGTTTGGCTACAGAGCTATCAAGAAGAATATCAGACCCCTCCTCCCACATCCTCTTTTTCAGGATTTGTTAATAGTTCTCTCTTACATTTAATTATAAATTACCTATAACCAATAGAAAGTCAAGTTTTTCATCTATCAAATGATGTATTGTATAACGTTGCATAAACTGACTATTATGAATACAGAAATTGTCTGCTTTT